AACCCACCTTCACCTATCTTTTCAATATTTGTTAAATCATTATAAGGAATCCATTGAAGATGATTACTATAATGATACTCAGTTGCTTTAAGTTGTGTACTTTTAATCAATTCATCTAATGTTTTGTTGCCACTAGTCCATCCTTCAGTTAATAACTTTGGATCACATGATAGACACCATGAATAATGAGTATTATACCTATTGCATGTTGGACACTCCCCATAATGTCTATTTCTTTTCTTTGAGTATTGATCTTCATAATCATGAAGACTTCCATCTTCCATGTATTCCATTACAAAGATATATTCTTTTGTAGCTGGGTCTTGTGTTAATCCATAAATTTTATTTATAAATGATTTACCATGAAATGTAACATAATTTCTGAACTATATAAAAAAAAATATAATGAATTTCTGAATAATATTTAAAATCAGAAAATAAATAAAAAAATAAATTATTTACCTCATTAAGAAATTCATCAGAAATATTCTGTGAATTATGTAGTTTTTTTAATGCCACAGTCCTATCCTTAATAGTTCTTTTTCCATAATTTGTACTTTTATTACCATTTAACCAAGTAGCTTTGGATATAGTTATAAAACCACCTTCACCAATCTTTTCAGTATTTGTTAAATCATTATAAGGAATCCATTGAAGATAATAATGATTATTATATTCTGTTGCTTTAAGTTGTGTGCTTTTAATCAATTCATCTAATGTTTTGTTGCCACTAGTCCATCCTATAGTTAATAATTTTGGATTGCATGATTGACACCATGAATAATCAGTATTATATCTTTTGCATGTTGGACATTCCCTATAATGTCTATCTCTTTTATAATAATATTCATCATTTTTGTCAGTAGAAGCATTGTCATGATGTTTATTTTCATTCAAAATGTTTTCCATTGTGGTTTTTGTATATTTGTAAAAAAAAATTTTTTTTTCAGCCACAAATATGTATCACAAAAAATATATTAATTAATATTAACAAGTTTTGTAATCGAGGATGTGCGCAATGGTACCCGTTTTACATCGCATCAACGTACGAAAACATTCATAATGACTGTCACAACGAGTATCATTATCAATAGCAATTTGAATGTATTTACCATATGTGTCTTTTTGTATTGAACGTAATTTTCCAATAAAATATTTATTAAGTGATGATTTAAAATGTATACATATTTAAAAAATAATAAATACAACATTCACCCTTAATGCTACTTTTGATTTAATATGCATATCCAAGACAGTATCAATAATTATTAATCATTTGTTGGAAAGTCCATCTTGTATACACCCTAAATAGGCAAATAACTTATTATTGTATTATTGTTACTAATTGATATAATAATAATAAATATTTTCATTTATTAGGTAGAGTATGTGTTCCAGTAACTTGTGGTAATTTTAATTCATTAGATGTTTCAACAGTCATAGTGTTGATTCAAGAAATAGATCAATCATGTCCGAAATTAAAGATTATAGAGGGACATATATATATATTTTTCTTTACCATTAATTGAATTTTCAAAAGATCATGAAAAAGCTTCATTAAACCCTCATATAAAATATTTTGATAATTTTGTTCAAAATACACTGAAAGAAACCAGAGCTAAACGAAGAGGTAATGATAATAAACATCAATTTTTATTAGATAAAAAAAAGCATAAATGGATTTTTAATAATCTTTATCAATAATCACAAAGTCATAAACAGAAAATGAGAGTTTAAAATTTTATGTTTTAATATAGATTGTATTGGAATTTACACATTATGTATCTATGGTTATTCGGAAAATAAATAAATCAAATATTTACTTTTATTTAATTCGTAATCCAAAAAATATGAATTGATCTTTTTTGTTTCTATTAAACGCGAATCCAGGTGATTGGTTCAAAGTTGATATCGTTATGAGATTATAAACTGAGTAATAATAGCGGAAAATAATTGTACAAACCTTTTTAAAGTTTTTTTATCCGAAAAAGATTCCTTCTGATATTAATATGAAGGTTTATGAATTTTAAATTTCATTTTAAACCATGTACTTTGTGTATATATCCGTTATCAAAAACTGATAAAAGAAGGCCTTTAGTATCTAATTTTTGGTGTACGTTTTGAACATGAATAAATTGTACGAGATAAATGCATTTTGTATTTGTAATTTTAAAAGCTCAATAAAAAATTCAAAGTAATTCTAACTTAAATTACTCGTTCTGGGAATAATAATGGCATAAGTCGAAAGTTCATTATTATTGAAATTAAAATAAGTATAAATATGGTCATTTTTTTTTATAAAAAACGTGCTACGGGTTTAAATATTAATATATTAATATATTTTACGGGCGTGAATTTCAAATTTTGATTATTTTGGCTCTTCCCTTTTTTCCTCTCCGTAATAAACATTGCTATTATCAAACAACATCAAATAGGTTTTCTGTGTTCACTATGCTCAAACTTCTTACTTAACACGTACCTCATTACATTCAGACCATTGTCAAATAGCCCTTGGAAAAAAAAATTTCCTGTTGGCAGCCGGCATTTAATGATAATAACCTGTTTTCAGTGATTGATTGATTAGAAGTTACTAACAATGATATCTGTACTATTAATGAAGAAGGGTAAGGATAGTCATAAGCTCCATAAGCAAAATAATATAATTGTAGTTGCTAAGAAATAATAGTAATAGGTTCAAGTTTTCAAGTTGAGCCCGAACCATTGATGTTACATAAATAGAATGAATGAATGATTTAATTTTGCTATTTCATAATACTTTTATTTTATTTATGTAAATTACTAAAAAACAATTTGAGAGCCTATTTTCTTGAACTTGAAAATTCAAGTTTTAACTCGAGCCTGCTCAATTTAGAGTTTCTATTCAAACAAATAAATAAAAACCCAAAAAAAATGAACAATTCAAATAAACGAATAAATAATAATATGACTAATAAGACTAATAAGACAAATAAAGCCGAATAAAATCGAACAAACTGAACAAACCGAACAAACTGAATAAAACGAATAAAATCAGTAATAAGTCTATGGAATTGTATCATATGTTGCACCTGAGTTACTTAGAGGAAAAAAGAACACAAAAGAATCTGATATCTATAGCATTGGGATGTTAATGTGGGAAATCTCTGCAGGTCATCCACCATTTGATGATAGAGCTCATGATCATTGTTTAATTTTTGATATATGTGCAAAAGGTTTACGACCACCAATATTACCAGAAATGCCTGATGATTATGCACAAATGATGCAGAAATGTTGGGATGTGGATCCATCAAACAGACCAACTAGTGGAGAGCTTCTTGACTTTTCTTATAATAAACATAAGGAAATTCGTGATAATGATTGTAGCAGCAGCAACGGCAGTGGTGGTGGTGGTGGTGGTGGTGGTGGCGGTAGTATTAGTGATTTGCAACAAGTACAAAAATCACATCCAGATGCATGCCATACAAGTAGAATATTGGATGAAGAAATTGCTAGATCAAAATGCTTTAAAAGTTATACAATTAATAATAATTCGTTAGATTTTGGCTTTCTTGGTTAACAAAGGTGAATAAAAATTCCAAATTAATTAATTGGAATTACTATCCATTAATTAATAAGCCTTAGATTCTAGTGATTAAAAGAAAGAATTGATGTGACTAATTTAATCTCCACTATAATTTATTTATTCATTATAACTATTTATATTTTTATTTTATTTTTCTAAATTATAATATTTCTTATAATAAACTTTTTACAGTTTTCTAGTTCTTGTTAAATGGTGATATTGCAAGGCAGTCTTTTGGTTAATGCTGATTACAGCTTAACTTTTGGGTTACTCTTGTCAGTTAATTAATTGCAAGCAACTCACAATAATTTGATGCTTATCAATTAATTGGTTTACAAATTTACTCTGGTCCTCACTTACTGCCTCTTTCTTGTATGTGAATCTGTAAGCACTTTGATTAAAGCTCCGAACAAGCCAAGCTGAGTTTATGCTTAGCTTGAGCTTGACTTGACTTGAATCAAGGTTGGGTGATGAAAATATTTTGGTGTAAAAATATTTTTTCAAATGGGATACATCTGACAAATGTGATGAAATATGACGAAAATGACAAAGGGCAAGAGTCAAAAGTCAAAAGTCAAAAGTCAAAATCAATTGATTTTCTTTTTGGTCAATTAGAACAGTGCTTTCATAAAAGTTTGACAAAAGAGATTGGGCATTTTATTTTTGTTTATTTCATTATTTTGTTGATTGTTAATTTCATCCAAATAAAAATGAACAATAGAATAATGACATCCAGGGCTAAATGAGCCTTGAGTTTAAAAGGTGTTCTATGATTCCAGGTTTTTGGACAATATTTGCAAAATGCTGAGTAATGTCCTTTTACTTTTTCCATGAATCAGACACAGGACATCCTGGAGCCAATTTTTGATTATTGTTAAATGAATTCTTAAATTCAATGTTTATAAATTCATATTATATGATGACTATTGAGAAGGAATTGGTGACGCTGTTGTATGTGAAATTGAAATTATGTGAAATTCTGATTGGCTAATTTGAATTTCACACATGTGAATTGCGAATTCACACACCATGAATTTTTTTTTTAATTACACCTTGAACCAAAATTTAAAATCCACAAAATAATTGTTTACTTTATTGTCATTTTTGTCAAATTTCTCAGAAATCTTATTTCGTTACATTTACTTTCATCGTGTGATCGTTTATTCGAGTTATCCCGAATCATTTGTTTTATTTATTCGAATTATTCATTTTGTTCGTTTTGTTCGTTTTGTTTATTCATTTTATTTTTTTCTTATTGTTTTTTATTCTAATTATTCTAACTGTTCGTTTTTTTTATTCATTTCACCCGAACCATTCATTTGATTCGTTTATTCAAATCAATCATTCTTTTCTTCGCTTTATTCTCTAAGTTGGACAGACTCAAGTTAAAACTTGAATTTTCAAGTTCGAGCAGAGTTCACCTTTTAGGTTATTATAATCACTGACAAAAAATTTAGTTTATACATGAATTTGACCTAGATACGGTAGTAGCTTATCTATTACTATTACTATGAAGTTTTGAAATTTGTTTGTTACACGCCATTAATTATTTTTCTGCAAAAGGAAATAATACAAAGAATTATGTAAAAATAAAGAATTATGAATAATTATAAATAAATAAACAGACTAGTGCTATTCTCAGTACAAAATTTTTTTGTTTTCTCCACTCTATTCAATAAAACACAATAATAGATTGAGTCAAATAAATTTTAAACCTTATAAATACATTTACTTTTATATGATGTCTCTTAGTAAATTATTATCATTAATACCACTAGAAAGAAAGGAATTTGTATTTAAAATTCGCAATGAAATGGATAATAATGCAATGGTCAATTCTGATAGAGAAAGTATGAAAGATTATTATTTTTCATTAATCAAAAAAAACAAAGAGCTTTCTGAAAATGAAAAAGAATATTGCAAAAAATGGTTTATTTATGGGGTTGAATTAAATAATGTAATATATAAATTTGGCAAGCCAAAAGAATGTAACAAGTGTAAATTGACAAGATACTCTGATAGATTTTGTGAAGGTTGCATTACTTTACAACTACAGGGTTTTTTCACTACTTGGACATCTGGGAATAAGATAATTGATAATTTTATTCAACAATGTCAAATGAAATCATCTCTGCCAAATTATATTTTAGAATGGATACCTTTTGAG